TCTCTCTCTCTCTCTCTCTCTCTCTCTCTCTCTCTCTCTCTCTCTCTCTCTCTCTCTCTGTGTGTGTGTGTGATGCATTTGTTCTCCAGTTAGAATGGAACGAGTTATGCTTTATTTGTATTTGTCTATAGAACTAGCTCAAAGTGTTGTAATCATTCAATTACTCAAGAACTTCTATCAGCTAAGTGTACACTTTAGCTTTGGATTCAAAGATACACTGTGTTCTTAGGGAATCTGCATTATAATAGATAAAATAAGGCTACTGCATTAGAAACCATATTAATAACAGAACCAGATAATGAATGGGGGTGCTTACCTTACTTAATAAGCATTAAGTACTTAACAGTAAATAGTTAAGTAGGATTCTTACTAGCATTTGAGAATATCTTATGAGATGTACAATACTGTGCTTGGTGAGGATGAGAGGGCCTGCTGACTGGAAGGAGGAGCAGCTTAGATAAAAAAAAAAATACAAAGAACTGTGACAGGTAAGATTGTTCAGCAGGTCAAGGTACTTGCTGCTAAGCTTGATGACCTGAATTCAATTTCTGGATGCCACATAGTAGAAAGTGAAAAATACCTTTTGCAAGTTGTCCTCTGACCTCCATATACTTGCACCATTACATAGGAGCACCTGGCACACACAATAACAACATAGAAACAATTTCAATACAAAGAAGAAAGCTGGACTTGGTGCAGGTGCCAGCAATCCAAGTATTCAAGAAGCAGAGGCAGAAGAATCACAAGTTTGAGGCCAGCCTAGGCCAGCCAGGGCTACTAGTCCCTGTCCCCCACATCAAAATAAATAAATCCATGAATAATAGCAAAAAACCCCCCATGTACTATATTTTAGTGGAACAGGAAAGATCATGAAAGGCTTCAGTACTAGGCTAATGAAAACATACTTCATTCTTTTCTAAATCGGAGAGGCGTTTTTTGTAGTGGTGGGAATGAAATCCGGGCCTGTGTCTGCCAGGCAAGTGAACTAGACCCAAATTCCTTATAATCTTCAGAAAAATATTCTAGAGCAGCAGTGTGTATGAAAATTAGCGACTTGAAAGACTGGAGCAGTGGATGCCACAAAAGTCTAGATATGCAGTGATCAGTGATTCAAAGTAGGCTGCCAGGATGGGAAGAGAAAGGAAACAGCAGAGCACAGGGGAAGCTCAATAAGGCCTCCTTGCTACTTGGAGAGTGCAGAGAGTGAAGGAGATGAAAGAGCACTGTTGGCATCCTTGGAAAGTTTAAAATCTGGGTGAAGAGAAGGCTACCAGGTCCAGTATAAGAAAGTTGGGTTCAGAGACAGACTGTGTGCTTAATCTTTGCAGCACCAAAAAGAAACAAGGCCGTGTGGAGGAAGAACTTAGAGGGTAGTGTAGGGAGAATTTTGCTTTCTTTAAAAACCCAATTGGTAAGTGAATTTTCTTGTTTTAATCCCAGGTGGGTGATATGGGGCTGCTTCCAATTGTCCACAGCTGCTACCTATGATTGTCTTGTGCTCTAGGAGGGACACACACACACACACACACACACACACTCGCACAGACACACATGCACACACTTTTCCATACTAAAAAATAATAAAGATGAAGTTATAAGTAGTTAAGATATCCAGGGTAGTATGGGTGAAATAGGTGGCTATAGCTTATAACTTCTGGATATAATGTTCATGTTTTCAAAACGAAACGTCTAATTTCCCCCATCCAAGTCCTTTCTAGCCTTTTCTCCATTTTTACACTTGTCCCTCTTGGACAAGCCAGAAACCTAAGGGCTTTCTGCGTCCCTTTCTGTTCTTTCACCTGCAGATCCAACCCATCAGCAATTTCCATCAGACCCATCGCCATTCCTCAGACAAGCCTTAAATGCACTCGCTTCTCCCCCTTCACACAGCTGCTACCCCGGACTGGCTACCATCAACTCGGGTTTGAACTCCCTTAAATAGGTATCTGGCCTTTCCTTCTAATTGTTGGTGTGTGTGTGTGTGTGTGTGTGTGCACACACGCGCGCACGCCATTATCTCTTGTCAGGAGCCATCTGGGATTGGCTAAAGGAATGCAGGTGACTTTCCTGGTGATGATCCATTATGTTTGGATGGCTGCAGTGGGTAAATTCTGAATTGCAGGACCTTCAGAAAAATTTCATCTCAGGATTGATTCTTATTGTTGATATGTGTTTCCTGTCATTATAATATATTCTAATGATTCTTGGGCATTAGCCCACCCTATTGGACGGATTTTCTGCAGATCAATGAAAATGTACTCTCGTGTAGGAATGCTATGTAGACAAATTGATGATTTCGTAATTCTTAATAATGGTTTTATAGAATTCCTAAATTTATACAAGTAATTTTGAGCCCTCATTAGTATGAAAGCTCCAATTAGAGTTCTGTAAGCCTTCATGTGTCATAGGCTAACTGCACAGGAAAGAAAGCAGGCTGCTTCTTACTGACAAGGATGAGGCTCTTTCATTCAGCAATAAAAAGGAAAAAGGTTTTTTTTCTTTCACCAGTAGAGAGATGAGGCTTTTTTCTTTTAGCAATAATGAGGACAAAGTTTTTTCTTACTTAGGGTTTTTTTTTCTCCTTACTTTCAACAATAGAAAGCTAGAAGCTTTTTCTTTCTCTGAGTAGTAAAGGTTGGAGTTTATTTTTCATCCAGAATGAGTAAGATCTTTCTGTGTTGGCACTTAATAATTTCTGTGTTGGAACTTGCTCATGGGGACTTTTGCTCCATCCATTAAAAAAAAAAACCATACATATACATGTACATGGCACACACTACCATCTCTGGTCTCAACTTTCTTAAATATCTATCTGGTTTTTATTTCTACTCTTTGTTGGGTGTGCCTATGTGCAGGATTGTTGGGTAGCTGTTTTTTTCAATATTCAAACACACCCCTCCTGCAGGGAAGTTCCTTAAGACAGGAAATAACTTAAAATAGCTCATGATAAGAAAGAATCTAAACAACTTAAAATAGCTCAGGAAGTCCCTGAAACTGACCAGATTCCTTAGGCCCTCTCTCTCCTAAGAGTAAACACTGCTGATTCCCTCTCAGACAAAGTTTCTTGGAAGAAGCAGAGACCAGCCAAACTGCCTGGAAGAATCAAAAGACCAGCTGAGCCACCTGGAAAGGACACTCTCCAACTTGTTGAGCTGCCTATAAGCTGTACAGTGTGCTCCAGATTTTCAGGCTTTGTGAGCTGTCACCCATGCTGGCATGGGCTTTGGTGATGCAGCTTTCTTTGAGTCATTGCTGCTCCTGTAAATAACTTCAATAAAACTCAGTGGTACACAAAGTTTGACTTTGGTGGTATCTGTACTTTTTGTTGTGGGTTCCCTATCTGCCATGAGTAGACTGTTTATTGTATCTTCCCAGGAAAAGTCAGTCACACAACAAGGGTGCATGTGTGTTTCTGTAAGTATAACTTCTCAGGTGCCATTCACCTTGTTTTTTGAGACATGGTATCTTACTGGCCTGGAACTTGCTGAGTAGGCCACTCTGGTTGGCTAGCAAGCCCCAAGGATCCGCATCCACATCCCCAGCAGTGGATTTATATGTGTGTCGCCATGCCCAGCTTTTAAAATGTGGGTTCTGGGCCTGAATTTAAGCACAACAAGTACTTTACCAACTGAGCTATCTTCCCAGACCTCTCCTGTCCTCTACTGCCCTGCAATCCATTATCTTTGCAGCACCAGAGTGGATTTATTTTTTAAAAAATGGGACTGGGGAGATAGCTCAGTCAGTAAAGTGTTTGCTGGACAATCATGATGACCTGATTTAGATCCTGAGCACCCACATAAAAGCCAGTTGCTCGACATCTCAGTGCTAGGGATGCAGAAATAGGCAGATCTCCTTGAGTGCAGGTTTGATGAGAAACTGCATCTCTAAAAGTAGGTGGAAAGTGATTGAAGCAGACACCCGTTGCCAACCTCTGGCTTCCACACATGTACACGAGTGCCAACACCTACCTCCAGAGGAGGGTAAGGAAAGGAGGGAAGGGGAGGGGAGAGAGTCTGTTTACACAAACTGGATGTAAATTAAGACCTGTTTTGTGAGGATCTTCGGGTTGGAAGAAAAATAATTTTTGAGATTCCTATGTGTGGATATTAGGAGGAGGGGAGGAGGTAGGTAGTGTCTCCAGAAAAGAGACAAAAGAGACACACTGAGTTATAAAAAAGATCAGAGGAGCAGAGTTTTTATAAGGGTTACCATACAATATATATCTCAAAAACAGCCAAAGATCCTTTACCAGTAAGAAACTTTATGCTGGGACAAACAAGCAGTGGGAGAGGTGATGGCCCTAAACAATTACTTGAGTAGCTTTCTCTTACCATTGCCAAAGGTAATGTTGGAACCTGCAAAGTCAGAATGGACAGGACAGTTTCTTTGGTGGGTCTCCCTTTGCTGGCAGAGGCAGGAAAAGGAAAAAGGAATATATAAAGATAGCATTTTACCATTGGCTGCCTTTACTCAGTTCACAGCCTTTCCATTTCAGCATTCTGAGCCTTGTCTTCCCATCATCTCCTAACATATCTTCCTTGAAGAATGAAATAGTTATGAATGAGAACTCTAAAGTCGGTATAGGAGTTCAAATCCCAGAACAGCAACTTGCTAGCTAATTTACCTTGGGCAATTTGCTTCAGCCATCACTGCTTATGTTCCCTCACCTATAGTAAGATGGGGGTATCAGCACTACTTACCTCAGATGTTGACTGCAAAGGCAAGATGATGTATGCATTTGGCAAGAATGAACATAGTATTTATTTTTAAAGACTTAAATCTGTAGGAGGAGCTAAGGTGGGAGAAGTTAGGAGAGGAAGAGGAGGAGTAATAAGAGGAAAAAGAGGAGGAGCTAGGAGAGAGACAGAGAGGAGATGGAGGCAGATGGGTCACATGTCTGTAGCAGTAGTTGGTATATCTAGGTTGGGTATTGGGTTACACTTCTGATTGTATGGGTATCGTGTTACTGATCATTACCAAATATATAAGCCTTTGATTAATCTTTAAGGATTAGAGTCTCATCTTTCTACTGGGCCCATGTGGATGGCGGGATGGTCTAGGCAATGCCCAGCCTTGCAGAGACAGCGTGGGAGATTGAGCCATCTCCCATGCTGACATCTTGTGGGTGGCAGGGCTGGTGTTTCCAGTTGGCCATTTCTAGCTGCAGCATGCACGTGGCCTCTGGCCGAGAAACATGGCGGCTGGGCTAGGCAGAGCCGCTGCAGCTTAGATAGTCGGCTTGATCGCCAGAGGCCTATTTTAAATAATTACTACAACATATGTCAAACATCTTTAATATGTGTGCAAAGTTTTACCTGTTCTCTAAATCCCATTCACTGATGTCAAATACTTCTAGTGCTTTGAGAACAGGTTTTTGGCTTTGAGGTACAGCCTTAAAAGAAATCAGACTCCTACAAGATACAAGGTAATTATATTATCCACCCTAGAATACTTGTGATATTAAAAATGAAGCCAGGAAAAGAAGCATAAATAAGGACTCTACTGACCAAACAAAGATCAGCAGTTACTTCAATTGAACAAAAATAAAGACTAAGGGGCAGGGAGATGGCTTGGTGAGTCAAGTGCTTGCTATGCAGGCATGAGGACCCATAGAAGAAACTGGGTGTGGTGCTGGGGACCCAGACAGAAGGATCCTTGAGGTTCACTGACCAGTTAGTGTAGTCTAACTGGTATGTCCCAGATCCCCATAAAGGAATCTACTACAAAGTGGGGGAAGGTGCTTCTGAGGAATGATACCCCAGGTTGAGTCTTGGCCTCCACATGCGTGTGCACCAGCATGATACACAAGCAGCTGACGTATATGAAAACACACACACACACACACATATATGATTCTGTAAACTATGGCTAAGGGTTACAACTTTTGCCATACCAGTTGGGTCAAGTTCCTAGATTGTAGTAAAAGTAAATTATCTAGGTAGGGCATGTAGACAGACTGTTCATCTTTGCTTGATAAGTACCTTTTGTTATAGAAATGGCTAGTGAGATTTGGGTTTTACTTTGTTTTTTCTAAGATAGAGTTTCTCTGTGTAGTCCTGGCTATCTTGGAACTCACTCTGTAGCCCAGGCTGGCCTATAACTCACAGAGAGCCACGTGCTTCTGCCTCCTGAGTGCTAGGATTAAAGGCGTGTGCTCCGACCACCAAGCTCAAGCCAGTGAGTATTTTAAACAATATGTGAAATATTGAGAATACTTAGAACAAACGAGTTATTTTCTAGTAGTTTAGAAACAGCACTTATATAGAGCTGAAACAGAGTAAACACCCATCTTATATTTTAGTGGACAGTCTGTCTAAAGATAGCACTAAACCTGTGGGGTCTACATATGGTATGTGATAATGTACAGTATATAAGTGTTAGTCTTATTTGACCCGGTTAATGAGCTTTGAGTATACTGTATAACAAAACATTTTGTGAAATAATCATGAATTAGATTCAGTCACAAACCAGAAAAGCTTTTGTGCAGTAATGCTAGACATAGTCAAGTTTTACTCTTTATTCTAATTTTAAGACATTATGTGTTTTAAAAAAGTTCCAGCATGTTTTTTCATGTTAACAGTCTTAAAATGAACAAAATGCCAGTAATAGTTTCTGAAAAGTTACTTTAAAAATTAAATACCACTGTCTGAGCATTATATCCACAGGCAAATCAGTAACTCCAGAGAAATGTAGTCATCAATGTTAATTCAAAAACCAAAGGTTCAGGAAGAAGTGGTAGCTCCCACTCACAGTGCTTGGTGTGCTTCCTGTGACCAGGATGCACTTACAGGCCATGAAAAGACAAACCGGTACAGAACAGGTTGTACGTTCTCCTCAAAAGTGACCAGAAAGCCATGACTCAGAATGTTCTTTCCTGTTGTTGTGAGAGGGGAGAGGTGGCCCGGCAGCCTTCTGCTCCCATCACCTGAGGGCAAGCACACATCACTTAGCTGGGGTGCTCAGAAGACTCGTCCTGACTCTGTGACTGTTTTGAGCTCTCTGCCCCATCATACCCATTAGTGTTCTGGGAGAAAACCCTTACAATTTTGAGGGCAAGGGGGAGTTGAGTAGGAAATTCTCTGGGTAGAAACAAGAAAAATAGGGAGAAACCTCTATTGAGCCAGGATACCTACACAGCGAAGCAGAAAATAGGCCAGAAGGGCTATTTCCACTACCCTTCAAGTGTCAGCCTGAGGCCAGCCATTCCACTCTCTCACATAGGCACAGTATGCTTTCAAAGGTTTTTGCAACAAAGTCTCATACCCACGCTGTCCTGAAACTTGCTATGTATCCCAGGCTGGCTTTGAATTCATGATCCTCCTGCCTCAGCTTCTCAAGTACTTAGATTAGCAGCGAGTATGACCAGGCCTTGGTTTGCAATATTATTTACATTCTTTTTCAGTTCATCCATGCAGAGACAGAGAGACACATCAAAAATACTTACAAATTATTTAACCACTTACAAGCACACACAGATATGTATAACATTTGGCCACAGTTACCAAGATTAAAGGATATAAGTACTAGAATTAAAAAGTAAAAACAAATGTAATAAAACAAGTGAAGAATGAATGTGGAGGGAGTTAAGGGTATCTGGATGTGCTGGGGACTGATTGGTGAGATGGAAAACCAAGGTCCAGGAAAGGGGTGTTCAGTAGTGCAGCCACAGACTGGACTGGTGGGTTTCTCTTTGCTTAAGATAGGCTTCAGTTACCCTATGTGTTGTGTGTGGCTACACTCTAGAGGCAAGGATTTGGTGTCCAAAGCTGTCCACAAGCAACTTACCTCCTGCTGATGGTCTCTTGGCTCCCTGTGTGTAAAGCACTACATGTAAACTTCTCCCCTTTCCCTTTCTCTCTGGGATTAGGCTCCTGGCTCCATTTCTCTGAGTTATTCCAACTGTTAACACAGACATCCTTAAACTTCCATGTGAGCTTACATTTTTTTAATATTTCACCAAAAAGACGGTAGGCATTGTGGGCAGATACAGAAAGAACAATGAAAGGCAATGTTTCTACAAAAACCACTATTTCACCACTCAGAGCAAAGCAGCCTTTGAGTGAAGAAGGAAGCCATGATCTGGTACTGGCTTTTCCTAAGTAAAGGCACTTAGAG